GTTACAAAGGTTGTCAACAGACTCAAACTCTAACCTTTCAAATTACTAAAAGTGCATATTAAACATGAAGAGCACATAAATTGCATACTCATATACAAGGCGGGGCAAAAGTAGGTTCACAGTGTTTGTATGGAAAATAATACAACAATTAATAAATAATAATACAAGAATAAACTGTTCTGTGTACTGACAGCTGTAAACCTACCTTTGCCCCACCTTGTATTTAGTGTATCATCTAGTGATTATACAGTAACATAGTTTTAGGAAGAGAAACCATAACAAATACTATGATGACAGAATTAAAACCAACTATAGCTCTAATGTCAATGAATGAAAGTGAGAGTAATACTACTTAAGAGAAAAGACAAACTGAATCACAAAGTGAAATCTAACTTTGGAACTTAACTCACCTAAAGGAAGTGTCTCAAAAATGTTGAAAATAGAAAAGGCATCCAAGGAAAATATGGTCAGAAAGAAATAGTTGTTGGAATAGTAATTACACACGATTAAATTCAGAGTACAAAAGGAAAGAATTAAGTAATTTTATAAGGATATTTTATAATGATAAAGAGTATAATCCCAAATGAATGAAAATTCAATAGTAAGATTTCTGCTCTCAGTACAGTAGCTTTTAAAATATTCTAAAGACCCTTCCCTTTGCAAATACCTAGAACTGCTCAATGAGATAAAATACTATCTTTTAAAATGCAGAGAGGTCTGAAGAAAAAATTTACAATGGGCAGAAACAAAAGAGAAAGTCAAATCCAGAGTGATAGGCGAGTAACAAAGGCACAGGACACAATGAAGGTGTCTGTAGACACCATCAACATGGAAACTTAAGACTTAGCCAACCAGAGCAATAGGAATAGGTCCTAGATCTACACAAAGTATACAGCAGAAATGAGACTCCTAGAGAAAATCTGAGCCTAAGAATGCTACAGAAAAGTGAAAATGGAAAAGGAGTGACAATGGAAAAAGATTATTGGTACAACTGACAACATATATGTAAATTACTGTATAGAAGTTAAATTTCCTGAATTTGATAGTTACTGCTATACTTTTAAAAAATAACTTTTTCTAAATTATTTCTAAATAAAAACTTAAAAGAATAAAGAGGGCATGAAGTAACTATAAAAAACTACATTCCGGTGGAAAGACGTCAGATCAATGGTTGCCTAATTCAGGGGATAGGGTTGATTAGAAAGAGGCCTATTCTGGGTAATGAAAGTGTACAACATCTTGACTGTGGTGTTTGAAAACACAGATGTATACGTATATCAGAATCCACTGAACTGGACACCTAAAATCTTTGCATTTCATTAAATTTAATTATACCTAATTTTTTTTAAAGCCAATAAGGAAATTTGAAGTTTAGCATGAGGTGAAAATTAATAATCACAATTCATAATCATAAGCCTACCTGAAAATGAATTTGAGGTTTTGATTTTAAACTGCCTATGTGACCTGGGAAACCCTAAACTAGGACGTTAATTTTGCAAATCCTCCCTAAAAGAATTTACCCACTCTTTACGTCTCCTCAAGATTCCCAGAGATTAAGATTGCCTAATTGTTAAAACAAAATTTTTAAAAATTAGAAAATACATTGGGAAATGAACCATCATCATCAACAACAAAAAGCAAAATTAGCTTCCAAAGGATCTAAGACATGTAAAATAAGTATGTTGTAAATATTTACACAGATAAGAGATAGAACTAAAACATGGCGAGAAACAAGATACTATCAGCATAACCAGGCAAATAGGAACTGGATATTCTAGGACGTAAAAATACACTATCTGACATCAAGAACAGAAAATAAAATGTTCCTATTCTCCAATTACAAGAAAGGGAAGGACTGACTGTTCTTTGACATTAGTCAGCTAATCCCTAAACTATACTGTGACATTCAGCAAATCTTTAAACACTCAAGCTTTATAAGTCTCCAGACTTCCCCAATGCTTGATACAATACCAACTCTGCTTTGTTTAAGGAGTCTGTGTCTAACAAATCCAGTTCTCTCTTGCTTAGCAAGTAATAAATTCAGCTTCTTTGTTTCAAACATATTGATCGGATTTTGGTTTTAGGTATTTTGAGTGGTGGTCTCTTCCTTAAGAAAATTCAATAGATGTATTTAACAGCAAATGATAGGATTGGTAAATGAGTATACAGGTAAACAAAAAATATCCAACTGAACTACAGAAAGTTTTAAAATTAAGAAAATATGAAAAAGAAGATAAATATTGATATACCAAGAAAAGGTCTAATACAGTTATAGCTGGAGATTAAGGAGCAGAAAAAATGGGGCAAAATAATATTTGAAGAGACAGCAACTAAGAATTTTCCAAAACTAATTAATGATATCTACCCACAGATTAAGTTATAAATGCAAAAATTACACCTAGGCATATTATAATAAGACTTTTGGGTGGCCAAACTGAGAAAAGCTAAAAAAAAAATAAAAAATAAAAAAAGCCAGAGGGAGGAAGACAAATTGTAATAGCATCAAAAATATCAAATACCTAGACCTATACACTAAAAACTATAAAACCTTATTTAAGTGAAATAAAAGGATGACTGCGATAAAAATAAATGGAGAGCAATTAAATAAATGGAAGAATTCACATTCATGGATTAAAATACTCTATATTATAAATATATAATTTCTCCCCAAACTGATCTATAGGTAGGCGCAAAACAATTCTAGGCACAATCCCAGCAACCTTTTTTGGTGAAAATTGATAAGTGATTTCTATAATTTACAGACAATGCAAAGAGCCAACTTCTGGCCCCTAGAACTGTGAGACAATAAATTTCTGTTGTTTAAGCCACCTACTTGTGGTGCTATATTAAGAAAGACCTGGCAAACTAATATAGGCAGTAGCTACTTAGTGCAATATATGCACACTTTATGACCCAACAATTTCTCTTCTTGGTATATACATAAGAGAAATTATCTATATTTACCAAAAGATTTGTACAAGAATGTTCATAGCATTGATTTTCTACAGGCCCCAAACTAGAAACAACCCAAATGCTCATCAACAGTAGAATCAATAAACAAATCATGGTACATTTACACAATGGAATTTTATATGGCAGTGAGGATAAACCAAGTACAAATACATGCAACAATATGAAAGAATCTCAAAATGATGTTGAGTGAAAGAAGTCAAACACAAAAAAGTATATATATGGATGATTACAATGATATAACTATATAATAGTAATTTGTAGTGTTAGAGGTCAGGATAGTGGTGACCTCTGGAGAGGAGGGAGGTAGCAGTAATTGGGAGGGGGCAAGAAGAAAATTTCTGGGATGCTGGTAATGTAATTCTCTTTCTTTATCTTAGTGATGGCTACACTGTGAAAATTCTTCAAGCTGTACACTTATAATCTGCATACTTTTCTCAGTTTTTTACAAGCTGAGTAGGTGAGTTAAACAGCAGATTAGAACAACTGAATCATGAACTATAAGGGAGATCTTTAAAAACAGACACAATGTAGCACAGACACAGAAACTATTAAAAATATTAATAAAACTATAGAAAATATAATCAAGTATAAGTCTAATAGAAATTGAAGATCATAACAAAGAGAATGGGAAAGAATCAATATCTGAAGAGGTAATAGCTAAGAATTTTCCGGAATTAACATGATACAAATCCCATATTAAAAAAATGCACAATAATCCCAGGCAAGATTAAAAAACAACAACTGAGTAAATTACAGTGAAACTGCAGAACTCCAAAGACAAAGAGAAAATATTAAAATCAGATACAGATAAAAGACAGATGATCTACAAAGGAATGAAAATTAGACTGATTCAGTTAGACCACGAGAAAATCTTAAAATCATATACAGATGAAAGATATCTACAAAGGAATGAAAATTGACTGATTCCTTTAGACAAACAGAAAATCTTTAAATCATATAAAGATAAAAGACAAATGATCTACAAAGGAATGAAAATTAGACTGATTCCTTTATGGGGGTTTTTTGTTTTGTTTGGGAAATTTTTCAAACTCTCAGAAAAGCCACAAAGAATAATACAGTGAACACACTTACACCATGCACCAGATTCACTGTGTTAACATTTTGGCTAACCCACTCAAAGTTTTTCAAAATAAACACATATCCTTTCTTTTTGGGAAAATGTAGAAAGTAGACTGCAGATAACAGGATTCTTCACCCCATAAATCTTTATCATCCCAGGAATAAGATTCTTCTATTCAACTACAACACCATTACCTCATCTAAGATAATGAATATTAATTCAATAACATCACTCTATTTAATAGAGTCCATATGAAATTTTCCCAGTTATCCCAAAAATGTCCTCTAAAGCTTATCTTTGTACTTATCCAGGACCCAACCAAAGTTCATACATTACTTTCACATATTCTAGCTCTTAGTTTTCTCTCCATTTAGAACATTCTCACCACTTCCATAGGTTTTTCATGACACTGAATCATTTGAAGAGTTCAGATTAGTTGTCCTGGAAAAATGTCCCACATTCTGAACTGGTCTGACTGCTTCCTTATGATTCTCAGGTCAAGTATTTCCTGGAAGAACACCACTAAGGAATGCTGTACACCTCCCGCGCACCACATTATGCCTGTAGGTGTCCGACTACTGGTGATACTAACACTGCCCATTTTGTCATTTTTCTCTTTGTAATTAATAAGTCGCCTGGAGAATATTTTGAGACTGGAGAGCACAATTTTAATGGCAACTGTGGAAACCAAAAGACAGCAAACTACAACTTTCAGTGTTAAGAAAAAAAATAGTTATCAAAGTAGAGCTGTATGCCAACCAAAATATCATTTACGAATGAAGGCAAAATAAGATATATCTTGAAATTATTATTTCATGATCCAGTAAAAAAAAATTAACAGAAGATTATGTACACACACACACACAGAGCTTTGCGCAGAGCTTTGTTTTTTATACACTTGCCAAGAATTTTACATTTTTAGCATGTCTCAAAAAATGTACCTTACCTGCCATTTCTTCTAAGGGCAAAAGTGATGCCCTCTTTCTGAAAAGGAAGCAGCTTTGCTCTTAGTTTGTCAGGCAAAAAATCCATTTGTACGTAAGATTCACTTGTCAGACGAGAAATCTGAGATGTAAGAGGCTTTTTTATGTTATGAACTTTGGACATGATGATCCTAAAATCAAAGAAATCACAAAAGGGAAGGGGTTGGGGAAATAGATATTACTAAATGTATCAGAGTTAAACATAAATAATAATATTAACATACTTGATAAACTATCTACATAGATAACTAAATCATGTTCCTAGAATAAGCTTTTAAGAAATTCAAAGCACTAAGTTCAAAAGCAATTACTTAATTCACTCTCTAAAAACACAGCATCCTCTATTTCATTATTTCTAATTGAGCCATAATATAGCCATAGCCCTTTTTAAGCAATAAATTTATTACTGAAAAGTTATAAATCAACTACATTTTTACCAACTGAATAATTTTTAAAATAAAGGATAAATTTGCTATAGAAAGATGAATTCTTTCATAATTTATAGATGTATATTTTTATATCATACCATATTTTCTAAGAATGAGATAAAATGGCATTGAAAAAATTATAAAATACAAAGACATTAACTCAAAATTTATAATAATTAAATTAAGTCAACATTATTATTAAATAAGACTGAGTTTTAAATATTAAAATTAATTGTTTTAAATCTGTTGAATCCACAGTGTAAACTCTGCCTGATAAGCACCTTCTTCACCACTGGGTTCCCACAGATATAACTTTAATTTCCTACCACATAAAAATTTCATATTTATAAATTCTTAGACCTCTGCAAGAAAAAGTCACTATAAACTATAAAGCTCCTCTAATGATAATACTTTGTATTTAGATTGGACATATTTATCTGTTTATATATAATCTCATTCCATCTTTAAAATAAATTTGCTTTTTTCTCAATTACTTGTAGACTTATAAACTTTAGTTCCCCTCCCCCTCAAAAAAGTAATCAACCCCCGTGTCTGATGTCTAAGAATTTTCAGAATTCAACATTTATTAATTAAGAATAGGTACTACATGTCACAATCTAGAGAAGCAAGGGCTACGCCCTCACAGAGCTTGCATTCTTAAGGGGAGAATAAAAATAAAAAATAAATAAACAAGATGATTAATTACAGTATAGTACAAAAGTCATGAAGAAACTTAAGAGAGTAATGGCCACTTTAGGTTGGCTGCCCAGGAAAAGCCTCTCTTAGATCATGCTTGGTCTACAGTCTGAAAGATGAGAAAGAGACAACCAGGTTCAAAATTAAGAAGAGCGCTTCAGGCAGACAGCATCAGAAAAGGCCCTGAGTTGAGAAAGGGCTTGGTGTTTTCTAGCAACAGAAAGGAAGCCAATGTGGCTGAACCAAGAGAAAGAATGGTATGAGATGAAGCTATTGAGATAAGAGTCAAATCATAGAAGGCCTTGAGAAGGACTTTGGATTCTATTTTAAGAATGAAGGAATAACAATGGAGTTGTGCTGTTCAATACACTATTGGCTAGATGTGACTTTTTAAATTTATTTAAAATTAAAAATTTAGCTCTTTGGTTGCATCAACCATGTTTCAAGTGCTCAATGTCCACATATGGCTAGTGGCTATCATATTGAACAAGGCAGATATAAAACATTTCTATCTACATTGAAAGTTATATTGGACAGCACTTATTGGTGAATTTTAAGCAGTAGAGTGGCAAAATCTGACTTAATTTTAAAAACTACCAGCGGAGGGCAAAGCTATCAATAGAAAGGCAGGAGATAAACATAGGACACACCAAGTCCACAAAGCACCCCTGCTTCAAGTAGGCAACCGGATTCACAAATGATTTCTGACTTAAAACTGTGTGATAAGGTCCTCATAAACACCAATGAGCAGGTATCTCTAGTACCATCTCAACAACAAAAACAAAACTCTGAGTAAAAAATAGAGAATAGTTCAAAAGGGGAGAAAGCATAAAAGCAAGAAACCTTATCAGGCTGCAACAGAAAAGGCAAGAATCATCTTTGGCAGTGGAACTGGTGAGGCTGGAGAAACGTATCAGAGGTAAAGCAAATGGGACTTGCTGATGGAGTACATGTGCAGAATGAGGGAAATGTGAAATCAAGATGCACATTTAGAGCAATGGAGATAATGCAAGTTACTGAGATATTAAAGACTACGGAAGAAATGGATTCGGGAGAACAAAAATTACTAGATGTTTTAGAAATATATAAAGTTAGAGAAGGCTATAAAATATGAAATGGAAATGTCTAACAGGCTTGGAAATATATATGTCTGGAACTCTAGGGAGTGAACAAGACTAGATATGTGTTATTTGGGAGTAGCCATGGGATAATAATGAGGCCACTCAACATCTGGGAACCCTGCTATATTCAGGAATTTCCTCATACTAGAAGTCTGAATGGGAATCAGACATCACCTCCCAATAAAGAAGCTGGAAATATCAGATTCTTGCATTCCCAGCCTGCTTTACAGCTGTTGGGTTTGCTAATTAGATATATCCATTCTTGAGTTTAATCTAGAAAGTCAAAACTGTAAGGAGTAGGGATTGAGTGAAACCCAGTCTGGCAAGAGTAGCAACAGCAGAAAGAGCCATGTCTACTTTCCAGAAGTAATAGGGGTTAAGAAGCACTTCTCAGGGTCAAAGATATAAGAGGTATCAGGCTTTAGCATGAAAAACTGGCAAGAAGCTAAGAGAAATATAAAAAACAAACAAACATTTTATTGTCTATTATCTTTGCTTTTTTTTTTACAATGTAAAAAATTTTAACAAACACTCCAAGAAATCTGCTAAACTGAGGTCACATTACAATTTACGTGATTTATTGTATGAGGACTGAAGCAGGGACTATATTTATAAAAACAAACAATGAAACTAAAGCCACTTTAATAAAAAAAAGTTTTAATAGAGTCACAAATCAAAGAAAAATAAGAATTGAAATATGAAGATTAAAGAAGTCTAAAATTGTATGAAAATGTTTAGAAAATTCTGCCCGGCCGGGCGTGGCTCAGCGGTTGAGCGTCAACCTAGGATCCAGGCGATTGGGGTTGTGGGCTCGATCAGTGACTCTCATCATTGATGTTTCTGTCTCTCTCTCTCCCTCTCCCTTCCTCTCTCTGAAATCAATAAAGATATATTTTTTAAAAAAAGAAAATTTTTAACAACTAAAATTATGGTGTGGTTGGTTCACTGATGATTCATATAGGTACTGACAAATATGTAGCGGTACAATCTAATTAATAGAATGTTTTAGTTAATACTCAAAATAAAATAAAGTAATTTTTAAAAGCCTTTTACCATTTATGCTATCTTTCTAAAGTCTAAAAAGTATGTTATAATAAAAAATATCTCATGTAGTTAGTTCAGTCATATAGGTTCATTGGATGTAACAGGTCAGTTGTAACCAACTGTTATTACATTAATAACAGAAGACTCTAAATTATCAAGAAACTAACAGTTATAATAAATGTCCATGTCTCTCTAATCATGAAAACTGTAGCGGATTTAATTCAGAGATTTAGCAAAAAGATTTCATTCAATGTATACATAATAGTTTACTTTCAGTAGGGTGGTGGGATACTAAGATGGAACCAGCTCACAGACTCAGACTGGTTTATGGTTTGCTCTAATCATTACTAAGGGTTCAGGTATCCTGGCCTACTGCTTCTTCTACCAATGCTGTGGTCTCTGCTTGTAAACTGAACACTCAGAATGCCTCCTCTAAGGCTCAGGGACTATCGTGGAAGAGGTAGATGTGTGAGGTTATATGAGCCACATAAGAGGGTCACAATGGGCAGACAAACCTGACTCCATCTAACAAGGGAGTCCTCCCTCTTGATTGAACCTGAACCCAGTTGTCCTATATCCCTCAAAATGGAGGGATCAACAGAAAAGGGAGAGATTGTAACAGTGAAATGTAGCCTCTCTCTGGTGGCCTTCAGGCTAATAGCTCATGCTATAGACATGCTAATTAACTGAAGGTATTCTAAGTGAGGCTTGAGTTGCCCCTTTGTCAGTGAAAAGGTGGGAAAATAGGCACAAAGAAATGACCAGAACTGGTCTAGGATCGGTTTGGTTCAACCAGGAACAAAAAAGCATTTAGAAATTTTGAGCTCTTGCTCCATCCCTTTCATGCCAACCTGTGCAAGGCAGTACCCACTCCTTGCCTAGCCCCTCCTCCCTTCCCTTGAAAATAAAAGACACCTGATTTTTATACACTCTTGAAATTGTTTTGAGAATTAGTTCTCCCATCTTCTTGGTTGGTGCCTTTACACACACACCCCCCAAAAGATGAAACCAGTAATATGTAACTTTTAATACCATATTATTAAAATTATCAACATAACTATGGCTAGAAAAATTTAGTGAAAGCAGAATCAAGCAGAACTCATTTTCTAAGCAATTCTCTTAATAAGCAACACTTGAGAATACAATGAAGGAAAGTTTTAATTTTCAATCAATCTTTAAGATCAAGATGGTATTTCTGTAAGCAATTGGGAATAACGTAAATTCAATTGGATTTTACTGATACATTCTTAAGTAAATAATAGAACTGTGTTGAAAAGAATCAGATATTGTTAAAATATACTACCAAGAGATTTATTTTGGGAATAATAAGCAAATGGCTGGTCAAGGAAATTATATACTTTAAGGAGATAATGTTGTTAATTTTATTTTTTTTAATTAAGAATTTTTTGGCCTGGCCGGGCATGGCTCAGCGGTTGAGCATTGACCTAGGGTCCAGGTGATTGGGGTTCGATTCCCAGTCAGAGCACATGCCGGGGTTGCGGGCTCTATCCCCCAGTCAGGGGTGTGCAGGAGGCAGCCAATCAATGACTTTCTTATCATTGATGTTTCTATCTCTCTCTCCCTCTCCTTTCCTCTCTCTGAAATCAATAAAGATATATTAAAAAAAAAAAAAAGAATTTTTTGGATGGGATTTACAACAGAATAGATATAGACTAAAAGAGAATTAGTGAACTAGAAGAGACAGTAAATATAAATGGACTAAAAATGCCAATTAAGAGAAAAAGATTATCATACTGAATTTAAAAATTATCTATATGTTGCTTTAAAATACACAGATTTTTAAATAAGATTTGTAAACAATGAATGTAAAAGAATAGAAAA